GGGTTTCGGGGAACCCTAAACCCTAAACCCTAAGGGTTTAGGGTTTCTAAGGAATGGCGTCTCGGCTCCAGCTGGGGTTTAGGGTTTAGGGCTGATACCGCCATGGCAGCAGCTGATGAGCTGGAATGTCAGAGTCTGGGCTTTGTTTAGGAGTGCCCGACTTTGATGTCTTTTTTTTTTGGTTTAGGGTTTAGGTTTCTTTTGGGGGGACCGGTTCCTTAAAGGAGCCTTTATGAAATAGAAGCTGATACTTTTTCCTCCCTGGTTACTTCAAAGAATCACAAAGCCCAGGAGTGCACAGCTGCAAAGCTTCCAGAGTGTGAGCCTGCTCCAGATCACCACCCACACGCGGGGGGAGTACCTTTTGCCTCATCTGGCTGCCAAGCTGCTCATCGCCGCAGTGCCCGTGTTCATCGCTGCTTATTGGGTCTATGCCTACAGATCCCCGAGGGCGAGCCCTCAGAAGAGAGAGCCGGGCATGTCCGGCGGCATGCTCTTAGCTCTGGGATCCACTCTGCTTCTTGATTCTTGGCTCTTGTGAAGAGATTGAGTTCTCGTTACCATGCAAAAGCTGTTGTGTCAACTAGACTGTTTTGTCAGCTAAGCTAAACTATCTTGGAAGCCTTCACCGTTACTATAGTTTTTCCTCCCTGAAGAAGGAACAAGTACGTGCCATAGTTCTGCCTGAACCCAAAACCCTAGCACGTGCCATAGTTCTGTCTGAACCCCAAACCCCAAAACTCTAAGCCCCTAAGCTCTAAACACTATAAACCCCCTAAACCCTACACCCTAAACTCCCGAGCCCAGGATTTTTTCTGCACCGACCAGTACCAACCGAGCATGCCGGACATGGCAGAAGACTTTGGGGTACAACCGGCGCAGATGGGTGCGACGATTCAAGTCCACCTGCTCTTTGGCTCCTTTATTAAGTTTAGGGTTTAGGGTTTAGGGTTTAGGTTATGGTTTCGGGCTTTAGGGGTTCAGGGTTTAGGGTTTAGTCCACCTGCTCCTGACCTCCTTTATGGTTTCGGGCTTTAGGGGTTCAGGGTTTAGGGTTTAAGGTTGTTTATCATGCCTTTGCATCAGACCAGAGACCCGCTAACCCCCTCGAAAACCCTGTGCGACCCCCTTAAACCATCTGAGGGCGAGGCCCTGAATCCTAAACGATATAGTATAGCCCTCATTACGTCAATCGTGACCACTGGGCCATCTCTGTAAAACCCTTGCAAAACCTCTGTAAAGCCCCATAAGACCCCCATAAGCCCTTAAGCCTCTTCCAAAATTAGGGCCCCTTTTGGGGTCCTTTTTATANNGCCGTACTATTTTGGGGACCTAGAACGGGATTTTACTTTAGAATGAACTACCCTACATACATGCCAAGGTTTACCAGCGCCATCTTTATGCTGCTTTTTGGGCCGTTGTCTGACACCATCGGCCGGCGCCCAGCCACTCCGATGGGAGCAAAATCCACCTTTCACAAAGGCAGCAGTAGCAGTAGCAGTA